GCCTTGAAATGCTCAAAGCATTGGGCGAATAAGGTATGTAATGGCTTATTTGCGTCTGTCAGACTGGAAGGGCTACTAGAAAGACACCAACAGATTGAAGAACGGGCGCTGAAGTATACCTGATTAGTTAGGGAGAACACAGGGAGTGCTCCAACTCTCGGGGCAGTATCTCATTGAAAGATGGCGATCAGTGTGTCAGCGTAGGAGATCTCAAGACAAGAAGGTTGCTGTCGTAGATTTCGGTTCACTGTTGATTGAGGATATGAGGTGCCCTGTCGTTAGTTGTCGTTAGTATCCGGTGCTTCGTGGTCAGCGCGATACTGCCGCTCAGATTTCTTGGTCAGTTATATCTCAGAACTGTACTCGTTTATCTGATGACGCATCTTTGCAATGTGCATTCGTAACCTATACGAAACAAAGACACGGTTAAAGATTCGAAAGGATAAGGAGATCCAACGAACGTTCTTCATTAGGTGCGCAGTAAGTCACCATTATGTAATAGCGCTAGACGGAAGCAGTAATGCCATCGCTCAGTTGCGCGTCTTTCGCCCGCAACTCTTGCAGTACCCATGTTTCCTTTTTGAAACGGTCATTTCGTTGCCGACGACCTTGTTCAGTTGACGTATTCTGAAATTGATCTCCTGTGCTTTCTGGATGGCATCGAAGCCGAGTGCGACGTGGCCGCCATGCATGCGAACGTAGCTAAAATGGAAAGCCTAGAATGTTCCCGTTATCCTTCCGTTGTTCTCTTCAGATATACAAAGAAGCTGTGGAGGATGTGGAGAAGTTCATGTACTTCGGGGTCGTGTTTACCGGTGATGGAAAATGGAAGGAAGAGATAGATCGTCAAATCTGAATGGCCAGCTCATGACCATTTCTTGTGACTGAGGCAGTATTGAGTCTGAGGATTAAGTTCTCGGTGTTCGAGTCGATCTTTTTCCCTATGCTTACCTATGTCTATGACTGAAATGCATCCTTGATTCTGGGTACAAGCGACTGAAATTGGCGTTCTGAGACGAGTCGCTTTCCTTACGTGACTCGACGTGGCCCGGAGTGCAGCAGTCCCAAAGAGCCCTGGTATTCAGTGGCCGCTTCTTCTGCTTGAGCAGACAAAACTGCGATGGTTTGGGTACATATTGCGAATGCCTCGTAAAAGAAAGGCGAAGTAACCGTTTCTTGCGCAGCCGATCGGCAGAAGAGCCAGAGGACGGCCGTAATTAACCTGGTA